AAAAATAAAATATGCACAAAACACACTGGATTTATTCGATTTACTACTGTTTTTACTAATTTTTAAAAGGTCTGAACCTTTTTTTTGAAAAAAAAGGCTTTTTATACAAACACCATCATGTGACCCCTGTGGTTTATGAATGATAAAAAAAATTTTAAAAATGCGATTTTAAGGTTTTTAATTTTGTAAAAAAAAATTAAATTCTGGAAAAATTCGCGAATTGTTTTTTAAAAATCCGCAAAATTTTTTTCTTCTTTGTTTTAAAATGTAAACAAAAAGAACATGTTCACAATTTAAATAGAAGATGGGCGCGAATGATAAAAAATGTGTTTTAAAGGTTTTTAATTTTGTAAAAAAAAAAAAATCTTGAAAATTCACGAATTGTTTTTTAAAAATCCGTAAAATTTTTTTCTTCTTTGCTTTAAAATGTAAACAAAAAGAACATGTTCACAATTTAAATAGAAGATGGGCGCGAAGCGCCCTAAAAGGCTAGTTTAAATATAAATTTAGCTTATCTGTCAAAACGTTAAGAATCCAGTTCCAGTTAAGAATTCAACTCCTGTCCAGTCCCCTGCTGCAGCAGGGGTAGAGAGCCCCAAGCCCATGGTAGCTCAACCCACAGGATTGGTAGTAGCTGAGGCAGGACCCAGCTCAAATACTCACTCAGGAGCTGAGCGTGTTAGAGCGGAGAGTGAATCTGCAGCAATCCACTCCGGTTACCACACTGATGAGTATGCCCGGCTCAGGGCTAACCAGCTGGCCCTCCGAGGCCAAATTAACCTGTCAGCTGAGATGCTGCTGAACAGTGTACAGAGGCTGGTGAATTATGTGTACAGTTTCACTAAAGTGTTGGCGTCTCCTGATCCTGGAGCGGATTTTGAGGTCGTCAAAATGTGGCGTAACGCAAGAAACGGCGTACATGTGATCGCTGGCGGCAATATGATGAATGTCGTCATTGAGACCTTGTTCTTTTTTAAAACTTTTGGAAATCCAGTAGAGGGTGATAAGTTCATTACACCTGCGCTAGATTGTATAAAGTTGCATCATAGTCTTGTGAGAAGCAAATTTCTCAGAGGCTGGGTAGAGAATAAGATCATTCAACTCCCTTCAGAGGAGATTATCACCAGGCTAGAAGCTGTAACTAAATCAGAGACCTGGGCAATTCTGAGGAAATTCCTGAATGTCCTAGATAACTGCGGTCAGCTGACGGCCAGGCTACCGCAGAGCGTATTTCAGCAGTGTTACAAGTTTGTGGGTAACAGTGATGAACCCTGCTCTCTCCGTGACGTTTTCAACATGGGGATGTTGATGTGGTATAATAGAGTTTTGAACACCCTAGTTTCATACGTCCAACGCCCTCATACTCCTTTACTGGGCACTAACCAAATAAATGCCCTTGTAAAGGGTACTGGAATATCACTAACCAAGTTCACCAGTTTTGCTCAAGTTGAGAGCAGAGCTGCACAGGGAAAGGATTATGATAGTAATTATTCTTCCCCTACTGATCTCTTGAACTTGTGTGGATTACCATTGCCAGCACAAGAACAGGCAGAGGAGATCCAGCGGTTGATTTCACCGTTAATCGAGAAAATTGATCACTTGATTAATGTGCAGATCCGGACATCCCAGCAAATAGACGAGCTCAGGAACATGATCCTGCAGACGTCATTTGTAAACAGGGCTGTCACTGCCATACTTCCTAATCCGATGACTGACGATACAGCTCAGTCCATCGACAGCCTATTGGCTGATGAAGAAGGACAAGATATGGAACAGGAGAAGCCTGTAACCCAGCCCGAAGTCGTAACAAGAAGATGCATAAACTTCAAGGAGCCAACATGTTAGTCTCCTCCAATCTAACTGATGTTCAAGTACCTGACGGATATATGTTGGTACCACAAACCAGTTCCAATCCAAACATCGCCTCAAACTCTAATCCTAAATCCGCCTTCGGGAAAAACTTGCTTCGTAACCAGAAGAAGAAGGAGAAGAGGGAGCGATTGGCTGCCAGTGGAGTAATGAATCCAGTTAGGAATTTAACTCCTATCCAGTCCCCAGCTGCAGCAGGGGTAGAGCGTCCCAAACCAAATCAAATCAAATCAAATCACAAGGGGCGGGGATGACAATGGGCTCCAGTAGTGGATTGGAGGTTCAAGTCCTTTCCGTGTCCTGGTTTTTCAGCCTGGACTTCTTTTTATATTTAGGAAGAAGTTACAACAACCGTTTACTGAAAGGTGCGAAGTTCCTTGCCACATGACCAAATTTGAGCCATGCCTCACTTTTGGACCTCCTCCATGCGAAATTTACCCCTTAATTGGGCAAANTTATAATTTGATACGTGTTCAACTATTTCCGACTCCATTGACTCCGGATCTTGAAGGGCACACTCGAGATCATCCAGAGAAGTGATTATTTTTGTCTTACTGATTGAGATCTTCATTCTGAAGTCCAGGCACCATGATTCCAGTATATCCTTTAGCCGGTTTAAAGTTTTAGGGCTGTTGGCTATAAGGATTATGTTGTCAGCAAATAGAAGTATATTGACGAAGACCCCTGACTCTAGTCGAACTCCTACTCCTGCTGCTCTCATCCGGCAGCTCAGTTCTGACATGTAGATAATAAAAAGAACGCTACTCAGATTGCATCCTTGTCTAAGACCTCTCTTCTGGTATTGTTTCCTCGTTCTTTTCCCTGATGAGGCAGTGGAGATATTATCTAGGAAGTAGTAGTTGGAAAGGAAGTCGATGAACTTGGAGCTTACATTGAGTTGTTTCAGTTTTGCTAGGAGGATGTTTCTGTCGACTCTGTCGTATGCTTCCTGTAGATCAATAAACATGATGTGGGACAGCAACTTCTTACTTTTATTCATTTCTAGAACGGAGTTTAAGATGAATATATTGTCGCTGCAGGTTCTGGACGACCGGAATCCATTCTGCTCCGCTCCTATGATGTCTTCTTTTGCTATCAGGTCCCCTAATCTCTTGGCTAAAATTTTTGTCAACAACTTCGAGATGCAACTTATCAGGGTAATGGGCCTGTAGTTACTAATTTCTGTTTGAGGGGGTTTCTTCAGGACTAGGATTACATCGCCATCTTTCCAACTTGCTGGTGGAACTCCGCCTATCATGACATTGTTAAACATTTGCGTCAGAAATTGTCTTGCCAAGGGACCCAAATGACGCAACATATCGTTAGTTACACCGTCTAGACCCTCTGCCTTATTTGCGTCTAACTCCTTTATGTTTCTATTTAATTCTTCCAACGAAATAGGTGCCATCATGTTATCTGATGCTTCCTGAGAAAATATTTCCTCTGGTAATCCAATCTTGGACATGTCCACCTCTTCTCTCTTTATGTCGGCTAGATTGAATGAAGTATTAAATTTCTTTTCGAAGAATGACTCTATTGTTGCGTTCATTTGATCTTGATTCGAAGATAATCCTGCTCCAGTGATCAGTGCTTCAAAAAATTTTTTCTTCTTAGGCTTGTTGTTTACCAGGTTCCAGAAAAGTCTCTGAGCCTTAACCAATGGTGGCTCAACCCACTGGACTGGTGGTAGCTGAGGCAGGGCCCAGCTCAGATACTCAATTGGTAGCCAGGCATGGTAGAGTGGAGAGTGAATCTGCTTCAAACCATCCTGGTTATCATATGGCTGAGTATGCCCAGCTCAGGGCTAACCAGCTAGCCCTCCGGGGGCCAGAGTAATTTGTCAGCTGAAATGCTGCTGAATGACGTGAAGAAACTGGTGAACTATGTATACTGTTGGCATCACCTGATCCCGGAGCAGATTTTGATGTAGTCAAGATGTGGCGATATGCCAGAAACAGTATACATGTGATCTCCAGAAGAAACATGTTGAACGTGGTGATGGAAATTTTGTTCTTCTTCAAAGTTTATGGAAATCCAGTAGAAGGTGACAATTTTATAACACCTGCCCTGGAGACCATGAAATTACACCAGAGTCTTGTGAGAGGCAATTTCTCAGAGGCTGGGTGGAGGACAAGATTATCTCACTTCCTCCAGAGGAGGTTATCACTATGCTCGAAACTGTAACTAAATCAGGGGCCTATGTAGTTCTGAGGAAATTCTTGAGTGTCCTTGATAACTGTGGTCAGCTGGCGGCCAGACTACCACAGAGTGTGTTCCAGCCGTGTTATAAGTTTATGGGTAATAATGATGAACCCCGTACCATTTGTGATGTCTATAATATGGGCATGTCCAATCGGTACTATAGGGCATTGAACAAGCTAGTTACATACCCAGCTATCCAAATTGCGTAGGCATCGTAAACGCATAATATTTTGGCTCCAATTACGCAATTAAAACGCAAATTTGCATAAGTATAGATTTCAAAGTAGTGTAAATATCTAATTTTTCTGAAGTAAATATTTTATAACCCAGCTTTAAGTAAAAATATCACGAATTTGTGGAGATGTGTATCATTTTATTTCAGGTATACAAATTGCGAAAAAATACGCTCAATTTGCATAATTGCCTAAAACTCTAAATTTAAATTATTTGTGAAATATGTGGCGGCTATGAAAGTCGTCTTTCCTAGGAAGAACCTTTCGCGGCAGGGAGAAGTATAGGGGAAGATAGTAGAAGCCACGTCATATATATATATTTTCTACTTTGTAACTTTATATTTAAAAATATAGTTAGTCGTTATCTAAATCCTCGTCTTATTGCTATCCGCCAAAAATATCTAAAATTTCCGATACGGCACATATTACATTTTCCAAAATAAATTGGAAAAATAAACTTCTTAAAAGAATTTAAATTGTCTTTGTTAGCATTAAAATATTACAAATAAATTTGAAGAAAATGTTAATTTAGTAATAATTATCACATTATGATGAGTAATATAATTCCAACAATGCAAACTCAACAATTTCAGTAATTTAACAACAAAAGGGATCAAGGCTAACAATTATGTCATCAGTTTATCTTTACTTAATGTTATGTATGCGTTTATGATTATGTAAGTAAATGAAGTAACATTATAGAAAATATGTTTATTACTTTGGGTGTTAATTATTGCACGAGCAGATAGTTATATGAGGTTTACTCTGCATGATAGAGATAGCCCGAAGTATAATAATGCCAGATTGCAAAGATCACAACAGCGCATGAGGGTTAGGTCCGAGTAATGGAAATAACCCGATCTGCAATATTGTCAGGTTGCAAAGATAATTGATCTGAAAACAAGTAGAATAACTTGAAGTGTGATCTTATCAAAGTTTGCCAATTTAAGTTTGCCAAATCATTGCACAATTTAGTAGTGAGAGAATACTACAGTATCAGTAATCATGCTTTAAATATTACATCATAAAATTAGAAATTTAATAAGTGTCTAGTAAAATTATTTTCTTTGTGACGTCATCAAAAACACTAAAGAGTATTACTATAATTTCGTCTTCATATTCCATTATTTTCTGGTTATCACTGTAATTACTAATTACATACAGTGATAACCAGAAAAGTGGGGAATAGGAAGTCGACTTTCAGGCTCCAGCTATGACTTTAAACAATCCAATGAATATGAGCATTTTAAACAGACCCATTTCACTTTATAAGTGATTTCGTAACTTACTAGTAAAAGTATTTGCTTTGTAACAAGTCATCAAATACACTTAAGTATTGCTATGGTGTCGTTTTCCTATTCCTTTGTTTTCTGGTTCTCGCTGTATGCTCATTTTTTTAGGTTTAAAAATTTAAATCAGTTTAGTTTTTAAGTTATGATCGAATCTAGAGCAGCATTCTCGTGCATATCGACAATCAGCATGCATCCAATGAGTGTAGTATGCTTAGTCTCCTAGTAATAGGCTGCATGCCCAAGTTGCCACGAATTATTGAAATGTTCTTGTTTTACATAAAAATTAAACTGAAATGCTTCTGGTTTTACTCCTGACGATCCTCTGAAAAAAAAACATATTTTTAAAAACATTATCTTAAAATTTTAACTTTCTAAATGAAGTTTTACCTGAACCATTCATTTTGATATTTTAGTATCCACTCTCCACTGTTCTCATCCCGTCTAGCAAATCAATCAATCAATCAGTCAAAATCTTTAATTTTAACCTTTAGGAGACAGTCGTCTTTATTCAATCTTTTATTTTAAAATGTTCAATGCATGGCACATTTTTAAAGTTATGATCGTAAAAAAATTGGCGCATAACAGTACGCGTTTTACTGGTTATAATTCCGTATCCATGTATATATTTTGATGAAACTAAGTGCACCATAGTTCATATTTTGATAATAGGACTGTTATTTTTGTAAAGAAATAAACTCTTTTTGGTTAAAATTTTAGTTAAAATCAATTTTATTCTTACATCGTTTTTTTTTACTTAAAGGGACACCAAATTATGATTTTATACCTCACATGAATTATTTTCATTGATTTAAAATTTCGACCTCAAGAGGCCATTGATATCTGGAGGTCACGATCATCTGAGGTCAAAAAGGGGTCTCAGAATGGACGCGGAACACCAAAAAACCTATAATTTGATACCTAACATGACCCATTTACAATGATTTTATATTTTTATCTTTTAGAGGTCATTATTGAAGGAGGTCAAGCTGGAGGTCGGATATATGTGTTAATATCAGCACATGACTTATGTGGTAGCAAAAAATATGAAAACATGTGTGTTTAAATTAAAATAATTGAATTCGAGTGAAAAAGTGGTATTTTCCAGTATTTTCTGAATTCATGAAGGTCAAAATGGATAAAAATGACCTTCGATCTCAAATTTTCTTCGTGATCTATGTAGATGACCAGAATTTGAGGCTGCATGCCAAAATTCAGCCTTCTATCTCAATTTTTAGGACCAAACGTAGCATGTACAAAATTTGATGTCGCAAAGTGTCGAATTGTACCCCCCCCCCTCTGACACAGTTTTATTTCAATTTCTCGAGACAGGAACGTCAGATAGAACTCTTAAGCGTCTCGATTTTCACCTAAAATACTTAGGTTTCAGCCTATACCCCCTTTCATTTTTCCTTTACAGTCCCTTTAATAATGGCGAATATCAGTACGCTTTTTACTGTTTATAACCATATCTAAGAATATATTTTAGAGAAACTAGAAAAAGTGCACCATTGCTCATTTTTTTATTTTAGGGGAGTTATTTTTGTAAAGAAATAAGCTTTTTTGATGAAAACAAATAAAATTTTAGTTTAAATCAATTTTATTCTTAAATATTTTTTTAACTTAACAAGAATGATAATTTAATTGAAAAGTGGAGAGTTTTTTGGTGAACAACATAATATTATGATTGAATTTCCTGTAACTTCTTGGTGAGTTAGATTGGAAAAGTGTAACGGATGGGTAGGGATGAGATTTAACTATTCTCAACGTATCCCGAACCTGTCTTACAAAACCTTCTCTGTCTGTTACAACCTCAGGACATGGTGTTAAACTCTGTAGAATAAAATCATCTGATTGTCCCAACCATATATCTACTGATCTCATGGGAAGGTAGGAGAATGGTCCTATCCGCAGTTCTTCTCTCTCAGGGGAGTATATATCCAGCATACCAACCCCCTCACCACCGGTCAGTGTTCTAGCCAACCTAAGAAATGGAATATTCATCGATTAAAAGAAAATTGTGAATTGTGTATAAACCCACAGTGATATAAAAGTTGCAATCTCTCATGAAAAAATATATTAGCATTTTGCCAATTACTTTAAACTGAAACAAGCACCAAGCATGTCGTGGTTCTAAAATCTTTTATATTTATTCAAAAATGTATGAATACTAGCCTTAGAGGGCGCTTCGCGCCCATCTTCTAAATTAATTGTGAACATGTTCTCTTTGTGTACATATTTAAAAAGCTCAATTTTGTTAACTTCCTTTCTTGTCTGAACACCATAAATACGCAAGTCGTTATCATATAGAAAATGCAGTTAGAATTATCATATTTTCATAACGTTTTGCTCGGAAACAGTTTTAAAGGGTACCGTTGTGAATCTGGCATGTAATGATACAACTCTTGAAATTAAGCAAACAGTCCCTTTAAAGAGAGGATGTCTAACCTTAGATCCATATCTGGTCCACGGTGGGAGAAGGAGGCAGGGAATACAATCCCTGTCTTCACGTTAATGGCTACGCCCCTCAGGGCGGGGAAGGGCATGGTGCCCCTGAACACTGTAAAGGCTTCCCCGACACAAAGGCCGGTCAACTCAAACCTTTCCTGACTACACACCAGAACTCCTGGTAATATTAAACATATATTAAACCTTTCCTAACTACACACCAGAACTCTTGGTAATATTGAACATATTTTAAACCTTTCTTAACTACACACCAGAACTCCTGGTAATATTAAACATATATTAAACCTTTCCCAACTAAACACCAGAACTCTTGGTAATATTGAACATATTTTAAACCTTTCCTAACTAAACACCAGAACTCCTGGTAATATTGAACATATATTAAACTTTTCCTAACTACACGCCAGAACTCCTGGTAATAATAAACATATATTAAACCTTTCCAACTACACACCAGAACTCCTGGTAATATTAAACATATATTAAACCTTTCCTAACTACACACCAGAACTCCTGGTAATATTGAACATATATTAAACCTTTCCTAACTAAACACCAGAACTCCTGGTAATATTAAACATATATTAAACCTTTCCTAACTACACACCAGAACTCCTGGTAATATTAAACATATAGTAAACCTTTCCTAACTACACACCAGAACTCCTGGTAATATTGATCATATATTAAACCTTTACTAACTAAACACCAGAACTCCTGGTAATATTGAACATATATCAAACCTTTCGTAACCACACACCAGAACTCCTGATATTATTAAACGTATATTAAACCTTTCGTAACTAAACACCAGAACTCCTGGTAATATTAAACATATAGTAAACCTTTCCTAACTACACACCATAACTCCTGGTAATATTGAACATATATTAAACCTTTCCTAACTAAACACCAGAGCTCCTGGTAATATTGAACATATATTAAACCTTTCCTAACTACACACCAGAACTCCTGGTAATATT